CTCCTTAGACTCAAAGCAGCATAGTAGGGTTCTTAGCATAACACTGGTTTCTCCTCCTGACCCTCAGGTATGGAAGGAATTCTGTCCTGTGACAGCACTGTTCAGTCAAGCAAGCCGCTTTAAGTGGTATAGCTCTGTGACTCAGCCTCCTTTGTCAGGGCTGTAGCCAGTGACGATGCAACCTCTTCCCACCTTGATTTCTTTCCTCCCCCACCAGTCCTGACATGTAGCTTTATTCCTGAGTCATAAACTCCCCAATCTGCCCATGTTGCTCATTCAGAGGAGCCACCTGGTTCTTTCTCTCTGGCCTGAAGTGGATGATTTACTAGTGCTGGAAGGGGGAGGAAAGAGACCGGGCCTCAGTCTGAATTTAAGCACAACACTGTATCTGCCCAGGCCCATTCAGCCTCCAGCCTGAGTGCTGGCACAGCAAAAAGCTTGCTTCTTGCATGGGCTGGGTTGCCAAACAAGCTGTGTGGAACTGCAGAGAACTATCTGCCCTCCTCCTGACCCATTTGTGATGATGACCGACTGTCTCCCTGTTGGCTCCTGCTTACAAGTAAAAACTTTTGGAGGTTTTTCCCTCTTGGCTTATTACCAAGTTCACTGCTTGGTTGCTTATTTTATCAAAATGTTTGTATGCTGCCACCTTCCCCTGATAAAAGGGGGGGGCACAGTGGCATGATGTCGCCACATACCCACAATCCCATTGCGAGAGGTTATGTTCAAGTCATTAGTCTGGCAATGAATTTCTTGGCCCCACATCTGCTCATGGAAATGGTAAGCAGCTCAGTTAATTAATCCCACACCACTCTTACCTACCCTTGATAGTTATGCAGTTGCCTAATTCCTTCTCAGCGTTCTGATCCAGTGCTGATGCAGTGAACAGTACAACAATACTGTTGCTGTTGTTGACTGCCCCACAGAAGGGTGGGGGGTGACAGTATGCAAGCAGCATTTTGTACTGTAAACCGCCCTAGGTGGGAGGGCGGGGTAAAAGTCTAACAAATAAATAAATACATTCTGATATCCTCGCCCCGGGGACAGGGGAGAAGAATACGGTTGCTAACTCCGGGTTAGAAAATTCCTGGAGATCTGGGAGTGGGATATGGGAAGAGATCATAGCCAACATATACAAAGCAGCTGTTTTTCTTTTCTTTTTTGAGCAGTTTTTTTTTTTTATTTCATACATACAGGACAAAGACTGAACAGACTTACATAGATACACATTTGCGAAGATTCATTTGTATCGGGGCTTTTTTTACATAGTCATTTGACCTGAAACTGTAACAAAAAAGTTTATATCTTTCCCACCTTATGATTTTAATATACATATTTTGCTCATATTTAATTATATAATTTCTTTTTATTTTGGTTGTATGTCTAGGAGTTTTTATACGTTATGCCCTTCTATCCATTTATAAAACCTTGACCATGTGTCCTCAAATTCTTCTTTGTTATTTCCTCTCAAGATTGAAGTTAAATTGTCCATCTCTGCTGTTTCCAATATTTTATTTATAACTTCTTCTTTTGAAGGAGCCTCACTTCTTCTCCAATGTTTAGCATATAATATTCTTGCCGCTGTCACAATATGTATAGTGAGATAAAAATCTTGTTTTTTATAGTTCTCTGGTGATATATTCAAAAATAATTCTGGTGTATAAGGCACAATAGTTTTTAATATTTTTTGCAAAATTTCATGTATCCAGCTCCAACATTTTTTAACTTTATTACATGTCCACCACATATGAAAAAATGAGCCAACATTGTTTTTACACTTCCAACAATCATTTGGTAGGTTAGGGTAAAATTTAGCTAATTTATCTGGGGTAATATACCATCTATAAAACATTTTATATATATTTTCCTTATAAGAAATCGCTTTAGTAATCACTTTAGTAATCTCTATATTTGTTTTCCATATATGTGGCCATATTATGACCCAAATTTTGTGCCTACAGTTTTTAACTACTTCATATTGTGTTTTATCTTCTAACATTATTGTATACAATTTCTTTATCATCTTAACATCAGCATGTAACAGTACCTTATCCATTTCCGTTATGTTTGTATAGAAACCCAATGGCTTGTCTTAAGCAAATTTCTTAAAAAAAAAAAAAAACCCAAAGGGATATTTTCATTTTGCATTAACTACAAACAACAAAGAAAATTAGGGAGGGAAACTACAGCTAGGGATAAAGGAAAGATAACCACACTAAACTAAAAACCCAAGAGGAGGAGATCTTATTTCTGTTAATGTAAATGTTAGTACCACAAGTGTTAGTATCACAATATACTTGTAGAGTTCCTGTTTGTCTTCCATGTTTATATGTTACTGTGTTAATTGTTATGAGAAAACTTTCTGATCATCTTCATGTTCTTCGCTTCAAAAAGCCAAATTCCAAGTCCTTCTGCCTTTACTTCGGCTTTCTGTCTCTAAAATCATAGACAACTTTGGCAGGTCCTGCACCCGTTTCTGTAGCAGAGGCTTCTTCCGTTCCAGAGGTAGCAGAGTCACTAGATTTAGTTTCTTTCTCCTTAGACTCTTCCTCTGTTCCAAGCCGACGCCACAAAAACTCCTTAGCCTAGAAAATGGAGTCTATCTTCTCTCTTTTGTCGTTAATCCTAAAGATGACACCTTCCGGGATCGCCCACCTATACGTTATTCCATTAGTTTGAAGAAAAGCAATCAAATCTTTGTAATTTTTCCTCTTTTGCCGAATTTTAAATGGAATGTCTTTTAGAGTCTTGATTATTACATTTCCCATTTTCAGTGGAGTTGCTGATGTCACTTTTAAAATAGCATCTCTGGTCTGTCTGCTTCAGAATCTGACCACAATTTCTCCAGGTAGGCTATTTTTTTTAATATAATTGGAGTGTGCCCTATAGACCACCTCCATGTCTTTTACCAATTCATCCGCTGTGAAGCCCATCACTGGAGCGATTATCTCACTAAGCAACTTCCCAGGTCCTCTTTCGCTGCTTCAGGAACTCCCTGGAACCTGAGAATCATGTTGGCTTTTTCCATCTGTAATTGTGGTACACGGTTTTCTTGAAAATTCCGCTTTATTTCCACTTCTCCCAATCTTTTCTTCAACTTCTTATTTGTGGTGTCCATCTCTGATTTTCTCATTAGCTTGCTCCACTTTCTTTTCTGTTTCATTCAGCTGAAGCTGTTGAGATGCAAAGTTCTTATTCATCACAGTCAGTTGCTGGTTAATACTATTGAGTTGCTCCATCACCGGCTTGAGCATATCCGCTAGTAATTTAATGACGTCTGCCCCCTCTTCTGGTTTGGGACTCTGACTGCCTGGTGGTTTCGTTTTCAACTTTGCACGCTGGGCCGCCATTTTTACGATTTGTTTACACTTCCTGCCGCTTCTTCCCGTCTCGAGAAACTCGCCCCACGATATAAAAAATCAAGTAAGTCTCTCACAACGCACACGCTGCTTTCCTCCCCTCTCCCCCTTCGCGTTGTTTATCGGTTAGTTCGCATAAGAGGTGTCCCTCTTTGCTTCCGTTTCTTCCCACACCGTGTGTGTGTGTGTGTGTCCGCTTTTTAAATAGTCCGTTTTATTCAGAACTCACGTTCATTGTCGGTCAGATTCTCTGACCACGCTGCCTTTTAACTACCTGGGGTAGTGTTCATGTGCCAAGGTTTGTGTGGGCCTATGAAGCATACTCCATGGAGGCGCCTCTACATTTTTTTAAACTGCAGAGGCCAGGTGCCCTGGAAATGATGTTGAACGTATCCTTTGCACTGTGAGTGGTGGAAATTCAGACTGGCAGTTCATGTTAATTCTCCTCTGTGGCTTCTGTGTGATAGATTCCTTAACCCTTATTTTAGGTACTGCCGCACTCTGGTTTCTTTTTTAAAAAATTAAATTTTAATAATATATCCCCCTAAGAAAAATACAGCCATTTAATATTAAGTGAATAAAATGGGATGAAATCAAAGCTCCTGAACATAACAGTGCATCTCTTGGCTTCTTTACCTCCCAAATCTTGTCTCAGCACTACATGAAGGAATAGATGTTGATTCTGCTGACAAACCTGCAACTACACCAGTTTGGTGTAGTGGTTAAGTGTGCGGACTCTAATCTGGGAGAACCAGGTTTGATTCCCCACTCCTCCATTTGCATCTGGCTGGATGACCTTGGGCATGCCATAGTTCTGATAAGAGCTGTTCTTGAAAAAGAGCAGTTTCTGTCAAGAGCTCTCTCAGCCCCGCCTACCTCGCAGGGTGTCTGTTGTGGGGAGGGGAAGGGAAAGGAGACTGTAAGCCGCTCTGAGACTCCTTTGTGTAGTGAAGGGCAGGGTATAAATCTAATCTCTTATTCTTTCTTGTGGCACTCATGGAGCCTAGGGTTGTATGTATGTCAATAGGCCTGGCTATGTCATAGGTAGGCCTCTGCTTCTCCTAGCCTGTACAGCTGCCGTTTCTCTCTCAACAAACAGATATGGATATGCAGTGTCGTGCTCACTAGAGTGCCACTGTGAAGTACTTTGGATTTTTGGAACAAAAGGCTGGCTGCTGATGACCTGGCAAATCCCCAGGACATCTGACTGGGCTGATGACTTTAACAAAACTCCTCCCTCCACTATGCGTTTATGAACCGCCATGTATATGTTCTGTCAGTGTTCATGACTTTGAGTCCTCCTGTCATCTGGGTTGGGCTTCCTCTGTGATCTCCTTTTTGCCAGAGAAAGTTCATCAGTCATCAGTGCCAGTTTGGTGTCGTGGTAAAGTGCGCGAACTCTAATCTGGGAGAACTGGATTTGATTCCCCACTCCTACCACTTGCACCTGCTGGATGACCTTGGGCAAGCCGTAGTTCCCTCACAGCTGTTATCACAAGGACAGTTCTGTCAGAGCGCTCTCAGCCCCACTGACCTCACAGGGTAGGGTGCCTGTTGTGGGGAGGGGAAGGGAAAGGCGTTTGTAAGCCGCTCTGAAACTCCGAGTGAAGGGCGGGGCATAAATCCAATCTCCTCCTCTTCTTTCCACAGCGTGAGTGCATCTCAGTCCATGTTGGCCAGGCTGGTGTCCAGATGGGCAATACCTGCTGGGAGCTGTACTGCCTGGAACACGGGATTCAGCCAGATGGGCAGATGCCAAGCGAGAAGACGATTGGGGGTGGAGACGACTCCTTCACCACCTTCTTCTGTGAAACTGGAGCTGGGAAACATGTGCCCCGGGCTGTCTTTGTGGACTTGGAGCCAACTGTGATTGGTGAGAGCGCAAGGGTCATGGGGATCCCGATATTTTTAAGCCTGCAGGCAGCTTTGGAATTCTGACACAGGGCAGTCGGCACAATCACAAAATGGCTGCCACAGGAGGTGGAGCCAACCACAAAGTGTCAGGAAATGAAGTTCTATATAACTAATAATTCAGGCAGAAACTCTGTAATAGGATGCCTTTTCAAATGAACTTAATTTACAATATTTTTTTTGCATACGCATGGCTTACAGTTGTGCTGTGAAGATTCCTGTGCGGTGGTGGCAGCTGCTGCAAAAGCAATGTTTCCAAAATCTGCACAGCCAATCAGAAGTCCTGTTGGGGTCCATTTGTCCCCGCCCACTTTCTGAAACACCTTGGCTGGTGTCAGGAAAGCAGTTGGTGGGCGCCATGCTGGAGACCCTGTTGTAGGGCCTGAGCCTTTCGTGTGAAGCTTCATGCCCTCTAGTGGACAGTACTCGTTGCCGTCTCCTCCCTGATCTCACTGAGGGTGGTTGTGTACCCATTCCCTGGGAGGCCTTGGGTTATGCCTTTTAGTACACTAAGCATCGGCAGCTGGCATCCCACCTAGAGCAAACGGGATACCATGAGGGATGCTGTTCAGTTCTCCTGTTACCAGTAAGAGAGCAGCATCTGTGGCAATGAGATTTCGCAGCAAGCCAGTGGGGAAGTTTGGACGGCCACTTTCCATTAATGTCTCATTGTCTCCTGTCAAAACTAACCACAGTTTGGACTGTCACTTTCCATTAATGTCTCATTGTCTCCTGTCAAAACTAACCACTGACCAAGGCTTTCTTGATTTGACATGGTTAAATGGTTGGCAAGGTGATGTCTGGTAAGGAATAGTTGTTGAGAATAGATGTCAAATTTTGTAGTTGGGCTGAGGCACGCCTTCCAGATATCATTGCCCAGTATGAATGTAACTGAACACCCTCAACCAACAGTCTCCTACAGTTACACATGGCAGGGGAAGCACAGCCATGGAAGGTAGAGTGCCTTTCAAGGAAGTTCATCTGTCCTTGTTGATCCTAAAGAATCCTTGTTAGGTATACCCTAGTTGCCTTGGTTGAATTCTCAGCCTACTTCCTCACCTATGTTAAGGCTGTGAATTCATCTACCACACTCAACCCTTTTCTGATATCCCACCTCCTTATTTCGTTTCCAGATGAGGTTCGTACCGGCACTTATCGTCAGCTTTTCCACCCAGAGCAGCTGATCACTGGCAAGGAAGATGCTGCCAACAACTATGCTCGTGGACACTACACCATTGGAAAGGAAATCATTGACTTGGTGTTGGACAGGCTCCGGAAACTGGTATAAACATAGTTGGGGGTATGGGAAGCTTATAGGAGTGGAAGGGGTTTTGGCTTCCTTATGGAAAGAGCTGGTAGGCCAGGAATGGCTAATTCTGAACCTCAATTAATAGTAACCTATTGCCACATCAGTCTGTGTTAGCATGTGGTAAGTTACAGAGCAATGACCACAGCCCATGATGCTTCTCCATATGGTCTCCATATGTTGTTTCACACCTCCTATTAAACAAAGTTGTGCTATAGAGGCTGTGTTAGAAGTTTGTGACCAAAGTTTGTGCTTCAAGTCAGTATGCTCCTTGGTGCTCATCATGCCTTTAATTCTGCCTGGCCAGTGCTGCAGTGAAAGTAGAAGCCATTACTGGAAGACTTACCTGTCAGGGTCTAAACTGGTAATTTTCAAGCAATATAATTTAAGGAACTTCTTTCACATGTGTTCATCAGTTGATGGACACCTGACTATTTGCTATGCAAGCCAGTGTGTTGTCGAGGATTCTTGGACACATCCTATGATGCACACCCTGTAGGGCATTTATCTAGGTCTTGCATGAACTGAACAGGCCATACTCATCCATCACCCCCTGCAGCTACCCATTGGCAGGGGGGCAGTAGCCATGGAAGGCTGAGTGCCCTTCAAGGAGGTTCATCTGTCCTTGCTGATATTGCTTTCCTTGCCTTCGATGAGCTTCCAGGGAACTCCGAAGTGGACACAGTCTGAAAACCACATATCTAACTACTAATCTTAGCAGTCTTGTGTCACACTGTTCTCTCCCTTTTTGCTGACTTTGTTCTTGCCAATAACACACAGTTCTTCCTGGCCCTGTGTATACCACTGCCCCAGTTCGCCTTTCTGCTTGGCTGCTCTTTAGTTTCTTGTTTACTTGCATCCATACTTATCAGACCACTGCTTTCTTCTGACCCACTTTCTTTAACCAATCCCCCGCTACTCTTTTCTGGCATTATCCTCTCTCCTCTTACAACATATAGCCTGTTCTAATATTCAACACTGAGGTTCCACCAGCGTCACCTTTCACCTCAGTTACCTTCCTCACAGTTTCCTCTTTCTTGCTCCACTTCCTCTTTCTTGCTTCATTCTCCCTGCCCCCTGGGCTCTCCATGCTTTCCTGAATCCAAGGACATCTTCCTAGTTCTCATCTATCCACTCTATAGGATACTTCAAACTCCATCAGATGGGAGTGTTCCCCAGATATTCCAAACACTAGTTCAGCCAGTCAGTATCTCAAGCTTTACTGCCACCAGCCCAATATAATCAATGCATGAAATCCTGTCTTTTCAAGGTGCAACTTGCTTCCTAAAGCCCTCTGACTTGAATTCCACAAGTCAAAAAATGTCATTTGTGTGTCAAAGCCTTGGGAGTGCTGCTCCTAAAATAAGGGGACACATTATTTGTAAGTAGGATAAAAGGAAATCCTGTTACATAAGGTACATTGCAGTTAGAGGAAGGACAGGAATTGGAGGTCAGTCTTCCAGAGCAAGGAACACATGCCCATTGCAAGGTTTCAGAACCACAAATGCAATATGAGTGATTTGCACTGTGTCCTGGCTTTGATGAGCTACTTCTTCTTATACAGTAGAAGGGACAGACGCTCCATTCATAGTGATATGTGAACTGTGTGTGTGACCTAGTCTCCTAGGGGCTAGATGAGCAACTAGTTAATTGCAGTATTCAAACTAAAGGAAATTTAAAGTTTAAGGATGGAGGAATAAATACCTGATGAGGGCCTAGAATATATATTGGTGTGCAGGGCAGAAATTGTCTGGTATTTAGCAGAATTTCTCTTGGGGTCTTCAACAGGCTGACCAGTGCACAGGACTCCAAGGATTCTTGGTCTTCCACAGCTTTGGGGGAGGCACCGGCTCAGGATTCACCTCTCTACTGATGGAACGGCTTTCTGTTGACTATGGCAAGAAGTCCAAGCTGGAATTTGCCATCTACCCAGCTCCTCAAGTTTCTACAGCGGTAGTGGAGCCCTACAACTCCATCCTCACTACGCACACCACCCTCGAGCACTCAGATTGTGCTTTCATGGTAGACAATGAAGCCATCTATGATATCTGCCGCAGGAACCTGGACATTGAGCGCCCAACTTACACAAACCTCAACCGCCTTATCAGCCAGATTGTGTCCTCCATCACTGCCTCTCTGCGCTTTGATGGGGCTCTCAATGTAGACCTGACAGAGTTCCAGACCAACTTAGTGCCCTACCCACGCATCCACTTCCCTCTAGCCACGTATGCCCCAGTCATCTCTGCTGAGAAAGCCTATCATGAGCAGCTGTCAGTGGCTGAGATCACAAATTCCTGTTTTGAGCCAGCCAATCAGATGGTGAAATGTGACCCCCGCCATGGCAAGTACATGGCTTGTTGCCTCTTGTACCGGGGTGATGTTGTACCCAAGGATGTCAATGCTGCTATTGCAGCCATAAAGACCAAGCGCAGCATCCAGTTTGTGGACTGGTGTCCCACAGGCTTCAAGGTGGGCATCAACTACCAGCCCCCCACCATGGTTCCTGGTGGAGACCTTGCCAAGGTGCAGCGGGCAGTGTGTATGCTGAGCAACACCACAGCTATTGCTGAGGCCTGGGCCCGCCTGGACCACAAGTTTGACCTGATGTATGCCAAGCGGGCCTTTGTCCACTGGTATGTGGGGGAAGGCATGGAAGAAGGGGAGTTCTCTGAGGCACGGGAAGACATGGCTGCCCTGGAGAAGGATTATGAAGAGGTGGGCATTGACTCGTATGAGGATGAAGAGGAGGGAGAAGAGTAGTTGCAGGTGGCTTACATTGCCCAATTCACCCTCCTGTAATTAAATACTTAAATAAAATATTTTGGCTTTTAATCTGAATCCCTGTAGTATGCTGCTTTTTTGCTAGGCTTGGCGCTATTCTTAATCTTGTAGCAGCAGCAGCACCTGGTGCTAACTGGTCCTCTATAAGGGGGCAGAAAAGAAAGATAATCTGCTTTGGTGGTGAGAATGAACTGTTTGTGGAACAATCACTTGTACACAAGGCTTATCTGTTCCAGCAGTGGAATTAGGAGGCGGAGGGGCAGATTCACGCCTCGTATAACTTATGCTAAATACTGTGTTCGAATTTGTTCCTGGGGATCTGCCTGACCAGTGGGGGCAGCTCAAGAGTGTGAGGTAAGATGCAGGGAAATACTTGTTTCTACCGCAAAATCGGGTTATCGATTGCTAGGAACATGCGTAACTAGACACGAGTCTGGATTGCAAAAACTTAATTCCATATCAAAATAGTATGTTCAGTGTTAAGGAAATTATGCAGTATGTATATCTTTCCATTGCATAACTTGCTCTTGGTAAACTGCTACTAAATGTTGGCATTCCCTCCCTTTCTCCAAAAGGTTGGTTTTATCAGGTTTCTGCTGTAGATGTAACATCTAATGCTGCTCAGTGAGTTTCACACTTGAATAGGGATTTGATTCTGAATGTATTGCAGTATCCCATTCTCCGGTGGTCCAGGAGTGGGGCAGTCCTTGACTCCTTACTCCTGGGAAAGCACCACCTCCTTCCATAGGAAGGGGTTGGCAAACTTTGATCCCAGAGGGGAGGGGCTTATCCTATCATCCCCAGTCTTACCGGTCCTGCCTTCTGAGCAGGACGTGCTGGCTGTGCTCTGAAGAGCACGAAGATCCCAGAAGACACCGGAAGGTCAGAAGAAGCGGAGACCTAAAGGGCAATGGTAGAAGGTACTTACCTTACAGCCCTAAAACATATTTGAGAGCTGCAGGCCTCAAATTACAATGGATCCGGCGCCAGCAGTCCTGGGAGGCCCCCAGGCGGTTGCAGCGCCAAGAGGAACGTCTCGGACCCCGCTGGGAAGGCGGCGGTAAACTGCTTTCCCCCCCCTCCATCCAGCTGCGGCAGCGTGCAGCAGTTTTGGGGACAGACGCTCAGTGAAGAGCCTGGGGAGAGCAGAGGCAAGAGAGGCGGCCGAGGGTGGTGCAGAATCTCTGCCGCCATCCCTTTCGGCATTGGAATGGAGCCCCCTCCTTGTTCCAAATCATGGCTGAACCACGGTAGGACTGTATCCATTGAGAACTGGCAAGGTATGGAGGGGGAGAGAGAAAGAGGACTACCCCCCCCCCTCCTCCAGTTTTCTTTTCCCTGCCCTTTACTCCTTTCCTTTGGATCTGGATGGGAGGTTCTTTAAAAGGACAAATTGCTTCTGGTCCATGGGTCAGGTCTCTGGCAGGGACATTTTACAGTCCTTATTGCTGGGCCTTCGGGAAAGGGAGCAACAATAGACAGCCTACTTCTTCCCCACCGGATTCAGCTGATGTGGGTGGGGTAGGGCTCCATTTTGGGCCTCTGTTAGGCGAGTGATGGTGGCTACTTTCACTTTCAGGTTCCCCTAAAATGGCTGAGAAGGCGGGAACATCTAGCTCCCAAGGCACAGAGAGTCTTAACCCTTCACAGACTACCAATATAGCCTCCCAAAATACTGA